AGCGACATTGATCACCTCCACAGGCCCAGCGGAGCCGTGAGTGAGAATGTCCTTGTACCCGAAGGCGCACCCGATAAGTGCGAAGAAGAGTGACACAAGGCGCATCATTTGTTTGTTGTTTTTCAGGTTAGCAAAAAAATCTAGGGATGGATTTCAAATTTGATACATTTTTGGAAATATGGCATCCGCAAGGGAGGACCAGGATGATGCAGAGGGAACGATCTCTCAGCTGCTTTTCTCACTCAGGCGGACCTTTTCTCTGCACGAGCAACTCAGCTGCTTTTCTCTGCACGAGCAACAGAAACAAATAGCGAACACCGTCTTGGAGTAGCGTAAGAAAATGAAGCCGGAGGTTTAGTTCCATTGATTTTGGTAAGCAAACTGAAAAAATATTGTGAATCTCACGAGAAGTGTGCGGTGCGACACCCTAGATGGCTATGAAGCCGCTGCAGCTTATGCACCTGGCAGCTTGGCCGTGCCAGCGCCGAAGTACGGCGACGCGACAATGGAGTCGGATCCCGTGCTGTAGATGTCAAACCCGGATCCCGCGTTCTCCAGAGCCGCAAGAGAGGCGGGCGCAACGGGGCACTCCGCGGGAACAGTGGTCGACTCTTCAAAGCTGCTGTACTGGGGCGGCAAGTTGTCACTGCGCAAATACAGAGCCATGGTGCACATTGGCGGGGCAGAGACGGTGCTGCAGGTGTCAGCAATGTCTGTGATCCAGAAACCTGGGCAGGCGACCAAAGTAGCAATGCAGCTGGTGAAGCACAGCGGCAGGCGACCGACCGGGGTTGGCTCATTGCGCGCCATTGGAGCGGAGCAGCGCGGAAAGATGGCACCGCACTGCATAGACATGTAGGTCTTGAAGCACAGGGAGTACGCCGCACTGCCCGTCTTTCCAACCCTGTCCTTGTACAAGGCGGGAAACGAAGCAATTGTGCCATCCAACTGCGCATCAGTGACGTCAGCAGTGACAAAGTCCGCGGCGGTGATGGGGTAGAGAACGGACCCGACACAATTGTGACCAGTGACCATGGGCATGCACGGCAGCGGCTGGTTGATCCACACCGGCGGCGGCACCATGGGGGGCACGATCTGGAGCACAGTGGACATTGCGGCTTGAATAAGGCCGGCACCCGTGGAGAGACCGTTCATTGCAAGCATTTGCGGCATTCCCCCCGCAGCGCCCGCAGCACCCGACTTACTAGCCAAGTCCGCAACCATTTTGCTGATGTCAAATCCAAAAAGACGGGAGACCACGCCGCCAGGAAACGCGGACACGCCTTTCACTGCTGCTGCCGCGGGAGCAATTCCATAGTCGCAGTGCGGGGTAGAAGACCCTGTCTTGTAATCCTTCAGGAAAGAAACAGCGGTGTTCAGCATGTTGAGATGAGTCTTATAAGACTCCACGTCAAAGTCCTTGGCCATCTTATCATAGACTTGCAGAAAAGCTTCCTCCAACTCCGGCGACTTCTCCTTGAAGAGAGCGATGTACGCATCATTCTCTTGCAGGTTTTTGTTCACCATCTCCTGGTTGGTCATCAGCGCAGAAGCGCCAACGACGCAGAGGGACGCAACGCGAAACATTGTTTGCTTTTTCCAAGCGAAAAAAATTGGCTAATTGGAGTTTGATGACATTAGTTCAAGATGGCACGCCGGTTTGATTTTATTGTTTGCTACGACGGTTTGACTTTATTGGTCGCTACGATTTTGACGACAACGCCATCCACTCAGAACACTCCACGACAATTCTTTCTGTGGGCAAGGGAGTCTACTACGGCGGAGGTATAGTTATTCACGGCGGAGGCATAGAATTCCTCAACAAATGTTTAGACTGGGCAGATCCACTTTTGGTCCAAATCTTCACGCACACGGAAACTGTGCACCAACGGATTCTGCTACGACTTGCTTCTCAATAGCGGCCAAGCCCGAGAAAGATACACTGGCCCCGGAACTGGACACGCAGTTGTCTCCGGAGGGCGCCCATCCAGACGGGCATCCTGCGTAGCTGCGCGCACACGTCACAGCAGCGAGACTCACACCTTCTGCGACGGCGGCAGCCTGCAACGCATCCGACAGTGTGGCCTTGATCATCATGGAGGATTCATTTGGGTGCGCCGCCTTTAAAGAGGATTCCAGACCTGCAAATGCTGGAGACCGGAGGAAAGACGCGCGGTCAGCGATGATATTCACGATGGGAACGTCTCCTTTGTTCACGTCAGTGAAGATTTCTTTGGGAAGGTCGAATGGCACTGTCGCCCAGCAGGACGCAATCCCGAACGCAACAGCGCCGAAAAAAGCTTTCATTTTGATGAAGCCTACCTTGAAAAAACACTGCTACTATTTTGTTGATGAGGACCGTAAAAGCGAGCATTTTCACGTAAAAGGGAAGTCTTTTTTGATGCAGGCACTATGCGAGTTGGCCCTGTTTGTCTCTCACTCCCAGCGAAAAAAGGCCGATGATAACGCATGAACACTATGCCACCACTTTCACTGACACTGCTAGAAGAATACTCCCAGAAGATGAATTTCATTTGTAAGCATTGCAAAGAAGTGTTTAGTTTTCCACTGTTAAGGCAGTGTGCTCAGAAGAGGATAGCGGAGCGTCTTCCTAATGGTACAAAGAGCCCGACAAAGTGTCAGCGGCCATTGCTCCCGCTTTCAATTGCGCGATCTCCTCCTCAGCCCCATAGACGCGGCTTGGCGATGGCAAGACGATGTTGGTATGACCGTACGCACCCGTGGCGGAATCACTGGACTGAAAGGACACCGGCATGTTGGTGAGGAACGTAATGAGCGACCCCGCCATATCCCGCGTGGCGTCAGGGGTACTTTCCTTCTGCGCCAGATTCTTGACTTTGAAAAG